TTTAAAATTTTGATATATCTAGATTCTAGGTAAGATAACTTTAAAAAATTTGCTAAGAACTTTTCACAGAATTTTTTTCAGAATGATCTCAAGAACTTTTTTAAAATAATTCCCTTTCTCTTAAACTTAGAGCCAAATAAGCATTTACAAAAATGATATTGCCTTCTTGAAATTCTTTGGAGAAAATCAACCAAATTCTTGGAAATTTCGTAGTTGGAAATGCTTAACATCAAATATCAGAATTAAAGTGGACATTTTATACGATAGATGAAGAGATGAAAGTAAAGAGTTGATAGTTCCGTTATAGTAAGGCAGCGTGAAATTTGTATATAGAAAGTAGGAAGCGAACAAAGGAAGGACAATTTTGAGCAAGGTACGAGTCGAGTAGAGCATCTCTTTTACCAAGCTCATCCGTTAATGAGGGATGGCGAGGGGTGTTTCCCCTTGCCACCACTGGCAACAGGGATGATCGCCGATTTTCACATGTAACTCCGATGTGCGGAAACAGTTCTATCGATTGTTTCACTCTCAAGTCGCTATCTGACGTAAACTACGCGATTCGTACCTTCCTCAAAATTGTCCTTGCTCGATCTCTACTGTGTATATACAATTTTCACACTGGCGTACTATAACGGAGCTATCAACTCTATAATTTAATCTCCTCATCTATCGTATAAAATCTGCACTCAAGTCTGATATTTGACGTTACGCATCTCCGACTATGTCAATCGTTAAATTTACGCATGAAGTAATAACACATGATTAGTTAAAGTAGATTATTTTCGATTTTTTATTGATTCTTCTAGGAACGGCTCCTTCCATAAATCCACTTTAAATTTATTTGAATTCTCCTTAGAAATGCCAAGCAATTAACATCAGAAATTTAATAAATTTCTGCTTAAAATAATCTTGGACTTCTCCCCTGCATTCAATTGGAAATTCAATTCGTATTCTCCTTAGAATTCCCATAGTATTTCCTCAGAATTCTCAAAACAAAAATCTATCACAGAATAACTATGAAACTCTTCACAGAATTCCTTTGAGATTGAACCCTCCAAATTTCGATATCATCTTCTCTGAATTTATTCTGAACTCTTTAGAATTCTCTTGGAATTATCTTCAGAAATCACCCTAGATTTTTTTTTAGAACTATCCGCAGAGATCATCTTTGGAGTTCACGGGATTTTCATGGAATTTTCATCAGAACTCCAATAAGCAAAATTTCAGAACTATTTTTGAAATCTCATTAAAATTGGATCTAGAATACTCATCCAATCATCATAGAATTTTCTCAGAACTCTCATTAAAATTCACTCTCAATTATATTGGAATTGTTTCGGAGCTGAATTTTGCGTCTCTAATAATTTAAACAATAATCAAAAGCGACGCTCCTATGTGTTAAGCTAAGTTTAACTATATTGCTACACCTGGCTTAAGATTTAAACGGAGATGAAGAAATCGGTCCTCAGAGCACTAAATTTTACATGAGAATTTCATAGTCTGTACTTTGGTATTTTTCACTGATATATCTTGGTGTCATCCCTAAAATCCTTTAAAATGCTCATAACATTTACATTGGATTTTTTAAAGTTCTAAATATCCTTGAAAGACTTTTGAAAATCTGTCACAGACAAATACCTTTGGAAAGTTTCTAAGGTTTACAATTTATCTTCTGGGAAAGGAGGTATATTTATTTTCCCCGATTTTTAAGCGAAATTGAAGGCATTTCCCAATAAATAGTTTTCCTGGTGTTCTAAAGTTTTGCGGTTCAGTGGTCACGCGTTGTTAAAATTTTCAATTTGTTTACATATATGAATATTTTGTTAAAACTACAGTTTTAACTACTCAATTCAAACAGTTTATTGATATTTTTAAATGTCACTCTATTTTAGTAGTGAAAAAGTGACTTTAGTGACTATTTTTTTGGAAAATAATGACTTTAGTGACTTTTTGGTGTAAAAAGTGACTTTTTAGTGACTGGCTTCAAAATAGTGACCAAGTCACTAAAAAATGACCTGCTACCAGCCCTGCGAATTGCCCTTAAAGCTACTGGCTTCATAGAACGATTTACTAAAAAAAATCAATAAGTGCCCCAATATATTTTGAAAAAATAAGAGCATGTTCCAAGTGATTCGCTCTATGGTCCAACGATGACAATTTGAGCTAATAGAGCTAGTGTGTAAATTAGACACCTGACATTTTTTTTATAGCAGTTCACCAAATTTCGGTGGTTCTGGATTATACTAATAGCTTTAGTTTTAGATCAATTTTTAGAAACCTTACTCGCAAAACCTTGTCAGAAAGTTCTCCCGGATGATTTTATAAAACAACCGAAAAGTTACCAACGAAGTTTTGTTTTTTTTTTTTTTTTTTTTCTTTATTTTTGTGATTTTTAGCCGTAGGCTAGTTCATCACATCAACGAAGTTTTGGAGAAAACAGGTATTGTGATCATTTTGTATATTTTGCAACGTTGTGAAAATTGACTATCTGACTCGAAGTGGTCAGATTAATATCTAAAGCTACAATGTCAGACTTTCTGGATGTGACTCTTCCAGAATCACGTATCGATTAATCAAAATAGGGACAGTGTGCCAGTTATGACACTAATGCTTCAGTTTTTGGCAAATGATAAACTTTTAAATTTAAGGTAAAGCCAATTAGAGGACCACAAGGGCCAAAAACCTGTACACTTACCCTACCGATGTTTATTTTTTTTGTAGTAATCAATAAGTGATCAATTGTATTTTGGAAAACAAGAAGAGCATTTGATCTCATCGTTCAGCTTATCGGTAAGTAATCCCTAATTTAGAGCGGCACGATTGCAATTCATCTTATCATTTCAGTTAAATAGCAGATTGAACCTCTTCAGTCGACCACTATTCTATGAATTTAAACCATTTGGTTACAAAAACACCATATCCCAAGTAACATTGCAGGTTTTATCGCGGTTTTATAGCATTCTACAAGTCTAAATCTTGGTCTACAGAACCCTCATAAAACCAAAATTGTTACTTGGGAGTGTTACGATGTATGACTCGTAAAAGACGATGGGTACTGATGGAGTCAGAGAGCAAATTGGCCACCAGAACACTATTTCTCTCTATTGCACAATTTAAAGTTCACGAAAACAAGCCTTTTCGCCTTAAGGGCCACTCACATTAGATCCGTTCGCGTTGCGTTTATATAAATTTGACAATTAGACAACAGATTTAGCTGTCAATTTGCTGCAACGCGTCAAATCTGGATCTAATGTAGGTCGCCCTTTAGATTCGGATGTTCCGGTTTAATAAAAAAAAACAATGTAAAATTAAATCTAACAAAAATCAACGATACTTCCAAGGAAACAAACAGTTTGACGAAATGCAAATATTAGGAGAAGTATTGTCATCGTTTCGAAACGCAAAAGCCTACAGAATGGGCACCATTTTGAACAATTAAAAAGAAGAAAAAAAAATTAACAGAAATCCTTCCCAGTGCAGCAGTCGGTTTACCTTATTTCTCAAAACATAACATTCAAAGCAATATTTTTTTTTATGGATTCAAATTCAAACAACAAAATGCATATGACAGACACAGTGCAGTACTGATATTGCAATGACAGTATGATAGGTTTCCACCCAAAAACCGCGACAAACACACTATTATATCCATCACAATATCAAAGTCCGGACCGGATGAGTCCGGATAGTTAAACGAGAACCAAAAGCGACAATCTATATCGGTGTTAGTATATTTGTATATTACAGGTAAAAGAGGATTGAAAGGAGGAGCAAACGGAAAGAAAGCAAATATGTTTCGAGCAGTACGATTTTATTTTTTTTTTAAATGGAAGAATGAACCTAACATGTGTATTCTAACATCGTGATATGTTTGGTGTCGTTTGTGAAAAGTTTGTTCAGAAAAAAAAAATTCAATGACTAAAACTAATAAAAAAAAAACGAAAAACCAAGAGTAAGGTAAAAATAAGTATAGTACAAAGAAGAAAATAAAATAAAAAAACAATGGGGAAAAACTGGTTGTGGTAGTACTAGTAATAAAGAAGGAAATCAACAAGGTTTCGAGAGAAAAAATAGAGAGTATGAAAAAATAGAAACAACAAAAAAACGATGTTAAAAATATATATAAACAAAAAAAAAGATTATATTTTTTGATTGCAAATTGTTTTTAAGCGTAATTTTCATATTTTTCGTTGGTATATATAATGGGGGAAAGTATCAAATTTGTCCTAACAAAGAGAGGGAGTGGGTGGATGTCCTAGCGGTAAGCCCTTGCCTGATAAATCTGCCATTTCTAACCTGAATCAAAACCGAGATGGTGGAGGCGGGCAAAAGGGAAAAACAAGAGTTCGGAAGCCAATCCGTCGTAATGTGCAGTGTAACGATTGTGCTTTTAATTGAATTTCTTGCCAATTAAAACCGGTTATGGCCCCGGCCCCTGAGGCGCCGTGGGAACTGGGAATAATCAAACATCATAATTACAGTGTATCGTCGTTACACAAAGCTTCGGAGGGAAAGCATTTTTAATTAATTTCTCCCGCTTTGTCGAAGTTTATAATCAACACATTCAGCTACGACAAGGAATATGAAAATAGAGGCAAAGTGAGACTTGCCGGGAGCGAATATAATTGCAATTTATGCACAGATTGGCTTCTAAACTTTTTTTTTCCATTTTTTAATGAGATTTTATATTCCATTTCTCGTCTTGGGAAGCTACTGAACTCGCAAAGCTCATTCACCGAGGACGGCGCCGATGTCAAAAATGATTGAAAGTGAAATCAGTCAATTTTGACGTTTCGGCTGCCTCCGGGAAGGGCCTTCTGCAGGCTTCGTTAAACTGATTTTACACTATTTGGCGGCGTTTTGACTGTTCAAAATTCCTAACCCTAGTCCCTGATTCGCCGAAACTAATTCCTCTCGCTCAGACTCGGAAAAATGGAAACTAAACCAAAGCAAGAACCTAAAACCTAAAAAAGAAAACAACGGAAAAACGCTTCACATACCTTGCTGCCTCGCTCGTTGAAGATGATCTCCACGTCCAGGATGGTACCGAATTGCTGTGATGGAAAAGCAAAAGTTGAAAATTAATCTCAATTGTCGACGAATGGCTGGCGCTTTTTCAAATTTTCTAAACTCTGGAAATGAGTTGGAATCGCACTCGACGTTCGCTGATCTAAATATATGTATCTGGACCAGAGGGATGCGCCCCGCATGTGTGGAGGGGGTGTGTGGTTTGAAATTTAATTTAAACTTGCTCCATGGCTCACATCCGTCGGTGACGTCGGCGTGAGATGAAGCCATGAACAGTACGATTGAATGATTGGATGGGAAGGGATTGGATGAGTTGTTTAAATACTTGCTTGCAAACATGGAAGCTTCGGGAGCCAACCCCCGGCGATCGGAATCGGATCTCCAGTATCCATTTGTCGATGGCGTTTTGGTTAAGCTTGGTGTTTTCGTGTATTAGCTTACAGCATATCAGCTACCACGGTCGAGTGGAATCGATTTCAGAGGCACGATGATATACATACATACAAACACTTGAAATGTTGGGTTTTCTCATAATTAAATCGTGTTGGTAGGGAGGTGAGATGTGAGTGAAGAGGCTGGAACGGGAATGTTTATCGAAATGGATGATTTGAAGTGAAACAGACATCCCAAACCAGTTAGCAGCAGTCTGGTTTGCTCGTGAAGGAAATGGTTTACTTTTGGCAATACTTGTTTAAATTTATTGAAATAGCTCAGTACCTACAATGAATTTTACTTCCCTGAAACCACAGCACAACATTCAGGAATGGAGCGGCGTGAAGTGTTTGAATTTTAATTTAGTGAATGAGAAAATTAAATCTGCAATGTTGATTAATTTTTGATATATGACCATATATATCGACAAACAAATCGTATATAGTGTACAAAAATGGATTATACGCACAACGATGGAAGCCACATACGTACAAAGCCAAATTTATTTCATAAGCGATTTTATTTGACATCACATACGATTTGATCTGTGCCAAATTATCATTTAAAGCTGAATAAGGGCTTATTCAGAGCTGACGTCTTCTTTCTGGATAAGTTTAGCATACTTCCCAAGTTCCCTTTCTTGGACTTCTCTAGAGTTATCTGATCTTTCACGAAATCTGCCTTGAGAATCGCTGAATGCATTTTTATGAGCTTCCCTACTTTTCTGAAAGTTTTTGAACTTCTCCAAGGTTTACCGGATTTTTTTTCAGGGGCTTTCTTTAAACCACACATTTATAAATTATCTGGAGCATTTGGATAAGAATTTCCCATAAGTTTTGTGAAGAATAGTGGTCATCTACAATTCACTCTCTATAGGGATTTTGAGGACAATTCCGAAGAAATTTGACTAGAAGTTCCAGGTAATTTTGAGAAGCATTTCAAGAAAATTGTCAGTAGAACTAAAGGTGAAGTCCATGCAGCGTTGCCAGATATACCGATTTATCGGTATTTATACCGATTTTTGACTTTTAATACCGATTTATATCGATTTTTCATAAACAATCATTACTGCCTGCCGGCAATGAATTGTCAGAAGAAACTATTGTGAGAGATTTTTATCATTTTGAATTAAAATTATTGAGCCTGCTCAAAAAAATGTCATTTGCAAAAATGTCTTATACTTGATACTCTTTCGGCTAATGTTTCCATTTTCTCGCCGTTTTTGGTTACCAAGGAGTCAAAAAACAGCTGATGACTCATCCCGGTAATTTCTAGCAACTGCTTTTATTCAGTGGAAAAATAGGTCCATATAAACGTTAATTTTAGAACTTCCTGAAATTACTTTAATCTTCCTTTTGAAGTTTCTTCCAACTTTCCCTAGGAAATTCCGTCCACCTTACCCTGTTATTTTCTGATTCCTTCCGGAAAGCTATTTCGGCTTCCCTTGGAAGCTTCTTCTAGCTTCGCTCGAAAGGTTCTTCTGTCTTCTCCCGTCAGTTTTTTCAACTGCTCCAGAACTTCAGGAATGCTTCCAGAGTTTTATTGCGGTTCCATTAGCTTCAGGAAAACTTCACGAACTTTTCAGAAGTTCTGAAACTTCAGAATAGTTCGGAATTTTGGGTAGGTTCCGATAAATTAGAGACAGTTTAATTAACTTCTATTCAAATTCGAGAACCTAGGAGTCTCAGCAAAGCACAGAGAAATCCAATGAACTTAAGGAAACTGAAATATTTTTGGAACTTCACAAGTCCAAAGAACTTCCAAGAAATTTAATGGTTTTCAGGATAGTTCCATTTGTTTCTGGAGTATTGAGATAACTTCAGGGAAGCTCTGAGAACATCAGGACATATAAATTAAAGGAAATTTCTTAACCTTTAACTAAGTTCCGAGAAACTCAGGGAATTTCCGAAAACTTCAGTAAAGTTCCGAGAGGTCCATGCACATTTTGGAAACGTAAGGGAAATTACATGAACATTAGAAAATTGTGAGAACATTTTAAGGGAAGTTCTTTGTTTTTTATCGGCAGTTTCGAGAACTTTAATTTTTTTTTTTAATATCGAGAAGATCAGAGAACTTTAATGCTGCTGTTCATCAATATAAAAAAAATGAGCGCTAAAGAAAATCCAAGGACTTTTAAAGAAGATAAGCGATTTTCCTGGAATTTCAGAGTTCCGAGAAATTATGGGATATTCCGAAGTGCAATTCAGGAATGTTCCGAAAGCTTCAGGGACATTGTGGGGGTTTCAGGAATGTTTTATAAATTTTAAAATTGCTAGATCAATAGAGCTTGTGAGGAAATTCAGGGAGTATTGTGCTAACATTCCCCAGAAATCTATTTCTTCCAGATACATTCCATCTTCTCCTTGAAGTATCTTTCGACTTTTCCGTAAGCCTGGCGTTCGACTTTTTTCCAGAAGTTTCTTCCAATCTATCTTAGTTTCATTCGTCTTCCTCTGGAAGTTTTTCCATAAGTCACTCTCCGTGGGTTTTTTTCCGGCGTATTGGAAGGTTTTCCGAGCTTCTCCTGGTTTCCAATTTCCAAACTTTTATGGCTTCTGGCTTTTTTCCGAAAATTTCTCAAAAAAATTCCATAAGTTTCTCAATATTTGTCTTGGAAGATCCCCATCGGATGTTTTTCCGAAAATTCTTAGAACTTCCTTCAAACTTCCTCCGCAAGATCTTCCTTTTTCTTCCGCTGGAAGTTTTGTCGGTACCATTAAGAGAAAAATTCAAATATATTCCAGAAATATCTTCCGACTTACATGGAAAGTACATCATTCGATTTTAGTCCAAAAGTTTGAAAAAAAAAAAATAATATAAAATTAATTAAATTAGTGAATACCGATAAATACCAATTTTTTCAATCATTTGATACCGATAATCATGAACACAATCTGGCAACACTGAGTCCAAGACACTATCCTTAATGACCACATATGGCTGGAAATCTCGTAAAAGTTAGTCAATCACTCAATCAATTAAATAATTCTGAGGAGAGTACTAATCGAGAATAATTCCAAAAGCATTTGATATTATTTAAAACAAATAGTTTCATGGAATTTCCGGCGGGGTTTCTAGTGGAAATTTTGATCATTATTTCCAAAAAAAATGTAGTTGCATTCCAGGAGATTCTAAGAAATTTCAAATTCTAAGAATAGTATTATGAGAACTCCAAGAAAATTCCAATAGATTCTCTCGACGCCATTTTGAAAAGAATTACAAAGGAATACTTAGGAAATTTTGCATACAATTTTTAGGTGAAATCCAAGGAAATTTTGGAAGAATATTTTCAAAATTCTAAAGGACATACCAACAGATTTCAGAGAAATATTTTGAGGGAATTTCAAGAAAAACTATGGAGAGGAATTAAAGCAAATTCTCGTGAGAATTGTAAAGAATATGTTCATAAATGTAGAGGGAATTTCCAGAGTATTCTGGAGAAAATTCCTAAAGTCTACTGCACAGAATGCACTGAGCTTCTGAGCTGTTATGTAGAAACTTTCTTGGAGAGAATCATATATTTATCAAGAGGAATCCTGAAAAGAACACTCATGCTAATGATCACGATTCAAATCTTATCCCCGAACAAGTCACGAATGACCTAACTGTAATACAAAAAAAATCCTTTGAAAACATTTTGAAACTATTTTAAGAGATGAACTAGCCTATGGCTAAAAATCTCTATGATAAAGAAAAAAAAAAATTGAAATTATCCTAAGGAAATCTTTAAGAAATTTTCAATGGTATCCTGCGATAAGTTCCTAAGAAATAATTTAGTTAATTCAGGCGTTGAATATTCTACAAGATCTGACAATCAAAATTGGTAAAAATTTGAAGTTTCTGTGACTTGTACAAGGGTCTAACATTAACGAAAAACATTATAAAAATCACCATTGCCATCGAAGATTGCAAAACTTAACAAAAAATCTTTTATTTTACACCTCAGACTTCATTTTTGGTATTTCATAAAAAGCAATTGTTCAGATATCCGAGTTTGAGGAAATATTCTAGATATGACGCATTTCGCGCCAAATCGTATTAGGAGCTGGCAGCACCCTCTCAGATTTCAATGAAATTTTCTGGATGTGTGGACCTTGACTAAATAAGCCACTTTGCATATACTAAGTTTTTCCAAAACCTTTGAGAAGGGCCAAACTTTTTTGGAAGATTTTTTTCAAAATTTTTTTTTTTGAAAAATGATAGTTCCTACAAAAATGTGATGTATGGCTGACTTTTAGGAAATTGTTCAAATTACCCCTCACCATCCCTCTCCATAGGGGGAGTTTGGTAAAGAGAGATGATCAAACCGATTTGTACCTTCCTAAAAGTTGTCCTAGCTCGCTTTCTACTCTCTATATGCAATTTTCACACCGCCGTACTCTAAACGGAACTATCAATTCTATACTTTCATCTCCTCCTCATCTATCGTATACAAATTACCTCTTTAGTCTGTTATTTGAAATTACCATCTTCAACTTTCACGCAGAAGTAATACTAAACATATAGTCAGAGTAAAATGTGCTTATTTAGTCGAAATCTACACATCCAGAAAATATCATTGAAATCTGAGAGGGTGTTGCCAGCTTCGATTCGATTTGGCGCGAAATGCGTCATAGCAGACTTACATTTTTTAATAAAACAGAATTTAATTAAAATAGATATTGAAAATACCATTTAAGTCTCCAATCACATTCCCGGTGTGGTTTGGAGTGGTTCTTGCCTGATTAATTGGATTGCATAATTCCGGAGTGATTTGAGATTTGGGCGTAATTGCTTTTGTAAACAAACACGGCAATTACTGATTTCTCTTGAATAAAAGCTTAATCTCACAAACAAACTATACCAAATGATAGAGGAATCATTCCTCTTCCTCATAGTATTATTAATTTTCGAGATTGAGCTTTTATTTGTGAGGAATCGGTGATTGACGTGTTTGTTTACAAATGCAATTACGCCCAAATCTTAAATCACTCCGGAATTATGTGTTATGGGCCTCATTTACATTTTTGCAAAATATCAGCCATTTTGGATGTCGTAATTTATTTCAAAATTTCGTCTTTGGTATTTTTCAATAAATTTTAGCACTGAAACGTCACTTCTGATCGATATGACGTCTGATACAAAGTGGTTTAGAATAGTAAAGTAATTGTGGGAAAAATAAAAAAACGTTAATTATTTATAATGAGAGAGAGAGAAGGATTAGTATTTTCCATTTAATTCCACTACTTTATTTGCTTATCCTTGACAGATACGCGTATTTCGTCTACAATGTGCAGACTTCTTCAGTGTCTTGTACTAATAGTCGAGTATTTACTAATCCTTCTCTCTCTCATTATACAGGTATTCCACTAAGACGCCCACATTCATCAGGGTTAATTATTTGTTTTTGTCGGAAAGTATATCTTCAATATTTATAATTTATTTTATAATAACGCGCATGCAAATTGCAAACTTAAAGACTATTTAAAACCATGGACACTTAAAAATTCACAAAAATCGTAGAACATTGGTCATATTTTTAAACTTTTTATTTTCTAGCTTTTTTATGTAATTTCAGCACAGATAACGATTCAGAATGTCTCAAATATTGTTTTCTGTGTAGAAATTATATGAAAAAATGTATTAACAAAACCATCAAATAGGGGAAAAGTTGGCTTCGGCAATACCTTAACCTATTATCGTCAGGGGGTAAACAAAGTCCTTGAGCACTCAAATTTGGCCAATAGTTGCTCTGAAACACAATGTATCCACACGACAAAATTGAGCTCTCAAGGACGTTGTTTACCCCCCCGACGATAATAGGTTAAGGTATTGCCGAAGCCAACTTTTCCCCTATTTGACCGAAAGCTTTTGTTCAACGATTTTCCTCTATTTTCAAGTGATAATAATTTTAAATATTCCAAACATTTGCATTTTTATGAGCTTTTTAATTAAAAAAAATACCTTTTTGGGAATTATTACTCAAAATTACTAAAAATTATCATGTATATTTTTCCCAGAAGGACTTTATTTTCTCTAAAACTTTTTCTCATACGTCATTTCGATCAGAAATGACATTTTCGTGCTACAATTTATAAAAGACGCCATTTTGAAACCAAAATGGCCGAATTTTTGAAAACATGTGAATGATTGCCCATAACGCACAATTATGCAAAGTTTCATGAAAATCGGAAAAGACCGAATTTTTTTCCGATTCGTCATTCGGCGTGGAACTGCTCCTAAGCTGTTTGATTTTGCTTTAAACCATTAAAAATTGAAATTCAGGTCCTCCAGCAGCCTTTGGAAGTCCTGAGAATTCCAGCAATTTTACAAAACTCGATGCTTCGAGTGCGTTACCCAACTCAACTCCATTACAAACAACCTAAGGTAGCAAAAAACCGAAAACAGTACTCACCCCAAACATGGACCGCAGATCCGGGTCCCGAAATCGGAACGGAATATTGGACACGTGTAGTCGCTTTGGTTGTGCTTTGGATTCGGCCAGCGCGGTAGCGGCTGCCACGGCGGCGGCCACATTCTGCTGCTGTTGCTGTTGTTGACTTTGGGCGGCTTGGGTGGCGGCGGCCACCACCGACATCTGCTGGGCCGTACTCAGCGGCACCGTTCCGGTGCCGGCAGTCGTCGTGATGGTACTGCATCCGGTGGTCATGATACAGCTCCCGGCAGGACTACTACTGCAGCTGGTGGCGCTGCTCGCCATCGAACTGTTGGCCGCTATTATCGCAGCGGCTGCGGCGGCGGCGGAGACGGCGTCTGTCGGTGAGCTACAGCTACTGTTGCTGTTGTTTTGGTTGTTGTTGGCACTTGAGACTTGCGTTTCTGGTTCCGTTTGCTGCAATAATTCGGTCTTCTTATCGAGACAATTCGCGTAGCGTTTTGTGGAAGGAGGCAGGGAATGGTGTTGGTGCAGAAGGGTGTGTTTGGTTATGTAATTGGAGATGATTAATACGACAATAGCGACAACGCAAATGGCACAAAAACGAAAAAAAGGGTTTGTGATCAGATTCAGATTTTGAGCGGCGTGAAATGAAAAGAAAAGAACGAAATAATCGATTAAAACACGATGAACCAATTTGGAATTCGGCAGTAATTTTGAGGCAGGCTGAAAAGCTTTAAACTAGTGTTTGTCTCTGATTTCACTAAAAGGCAAGTGCCGCCATCTTAGTATCAATAACAGTAACAAGTCGCAACACATAGATGGCAGCACTGAAAAAGATGCAAAATTCACGATTAAAAGCAAATTCTGGATGCAGCAGGTTGAAATCTGAAAGCGAATAAGCTCTTCTAACGATAGCGCGGTGAATCCAATTGCTGCAATTTTATAGCTTTCCCATTTAAGAGATAAGAACACACACACAAAGCTATCAGCGTAAGACTAATAATCTACACGGTTCGGAGAAGAAGCTTTGTGAAATCGCGCGACGTGTGCTGCCAGTAGAGTCAACATTTTGCGGAGAATGGAAAACTTTTCATCCCACTATTGGCAGCGGCGGAGCCGCACTAAGACGACACCGAAAACGACGACCGACACGTGGTTTGCTAAGTTTGAGGCACCTGCTGCGGAGAAAATTATCCGCTAAATTTCGGTCACGTAGCGTAGCAAGGTGGCAGCTACGACGACGACGACGACGACAGTGGAGATAGAGAAATGAGTTTTCGGGAAGTTGAATATTTCTGTTTACGGTAAGGGAACATCCATTGAATACGTCATGCTTTAATGGGGGAGTGGGGGGTTTAAAAATGTGTGACAAGCAATGTCTTAGGGATAAGAAAAACATGAAAGCGGGAAGGGGGGTTGATTCTCCCTAAATTTCGCGTGACGTACTTAATGCATGCTCCTAAATGTAACTGAACGAGCATGGTAGAGATTAATCTGAGCAATTACCAGTGCGATTAATCGTTAGAATTACTGGGGATCGTGATCGGGTTGTGGTTTCAAATTATGATGAAGAGATTGGAGTTAGTTTGCTAGAATGTGGAGGGGCTAATAAATTTGGTAGGGTCAATTAGAGCGATTACATTGTTAGGGAACTGCCGGGCTTGGCAAAATCTTTACCTATTACCGTCAGCGGAGTGAATAAAGTACTTTGCGTACCAAACATTTGTCACATGCAAAAACTGGGCTCTCAAGGACTTCATTTACCCCCTGACAATAAGAGGTAAAGTTATTGCCGAAGCCGTAATTAACCCTAGTCATTGACAGCACAACAAAACACAAATCTTTTGGAAATTTGTGCCATCAGTGTTATGTTTAACTGTTTTACCGCGATTCCCTCATTTCGATATTTGTTGTACAGGGTGAAAGTCAGTGTTTTTGAGCAATTTTAGTATCAAATGGGTTAATCACATACATGTCTGCATATTTTTCTTTTAGAGTGTGTTCAAATGTCAACACGGCATGCAAGTTTGTTTTGAATTTTCATTCGTTTGATACTCGTGATAATCATGGACGCAAAAAGGGAACTCGTGATAAGCCTGTTTTTGAAGCATCATAGACCGTGTTCTATTTTAAAGACGCTGAAACCACTTTGAATAAACGAAAGATTCATCTTTCGCACCATTAAACGGTACAAGGAAACTGGTTCGTGGAAAATCCCTCCAAGACCAGGCCGAAAACGCAGTATCAGGACTCCAGAAGTTATCAAACGAGTGAGAGAGTGAATTCGGCAGAATTCTTGTAAATCTGGGCGTAAGATGGCCAAAGAACTCGGAATGCCGCAGCCAACGATCAGGAGTATTTTGAAAGATGATCTCGGATTGAATGCTTACAAAAAACAGCGGGTGCATGGTTTGACCGGAAAGCAAAATATAGCTAGAGTCGAAAGATGTCGGAAACTGCTCAAACGGCACGGTGATTGCGAAATTCTGTTTTCGGATGAGAAAATGTTCCTGCTACAGGATCACCACAACCAGCAAAATGATCGGGTATATGCAGCATATCTTGCTGATATTCCTCGTGACAAATTGGCTGTTCAAAGGTTCCAGAATGTTTCCAGGGTGATGGTTAGGGGATGTTTCTCCAAAAAATTGAAAGTTCCATTGCTGTTCATTGAACCTGGTGTTAAAATCAACAGTAAATATCACATCGATAACCACTGCTTCCGTTCGTCCAAAAACATTATAAGAATGCACCAAACTGCTTCCAACAAGACTCTGCACTGTCCCATCAGGCAAAAGTTACACAGGCTTGGTGTGAGGCCAATTTCCCGGATTTCATTTCGTCCAAAGAGTGGCCTACATCCTCACCCGATTTGAATCCTCTCGACTTCTTTGCATAGGGCTACATATTAGGCGAACTAAGGAATACCAAGGGACTAACCGTGGAAACTTTTAAGCAACGTTTGGTGAAAATATGGAACAAAATGCTTCAAGATATCGATTTTCAAAAACGGATGCGGCTCGTAATTAAAGGAAAGTGAGAAAGATTTGAATTGGACTAAGTTAAGACAAATGTTATAGATACACGAAACAGGAAATACACTGAAAATTAAATTTCACATCATCTTCTCATTTTTATGACCATATATATAATATGGAAATTAACTGTGTTTCGTCATTGAACTTAAAATCACATTTCATGAATTCCTCTAATTATATCGACATTCTCAACGGAATCTCCTATGAAGAGCATTTGAAGTGATTGGAAAAATGTCTTTGTGATTACATTATACATGATTACCAGCTAATAGCAATTTCCAGATTTTCCAGGAGTTTTTTTTTAATTGGTGGCTGAGCGATATACATTTAAATTAATGTATGAACCAATAACCCATGATAAACCAGCTTTAATAGGGTTAAATATATCCTTACAACGACAGCATTTTTTCGAAGATCTTGAATTTGATTCTGCGTTTAAAATCTTTAAAATTTTGATACAACTTTGATAATTCGCTAAGAGCATTTTACAGATTTTTTTCAGAATCATTTCAATTCGCTTAAACTTGTCTCCCGATTTGCTTAAACTTAAAGATTATTCTCGTAGTTGGAGATGCTTAATGACTTAAAGTGGACATTTTATACGATGGATGATTAGATGAAAGTACAGAGTTACTAGTTCCGTTTAGTACGGCAGTGTGAAAATTGTATATAGAATGTAGAAAGCAAGCTTAGGGCAATTTTGAGGAAGGTACGAATCGGGTAGAGCATCCCCTTTACCAAACTCATCCGTTCATGAGGGATGGTGTGGGGTGTTTCCCCCCGCCACACTGGCAAAACGGATGATCGCCGATTTGCTCATGTACCTCCGATGTGCGGAAACAGTTCTATCGATTGTGTCACACTTAAATCGCCATCTGATGTAAGCATTTACCTGATTCTCTACCAGATTCGTAGCTTCCTCAAAATTTTCCTTTGCTCGCTCGGAACCATCACCTCCAAACAGCTCATCGTATAAAATGTCCACTTTCAGTTTGATTTTTGATGTTAAGCATCTCCAACTATGTAAATCGTTAACTTCACGCATGAAGTAATAAAACATAATTAAAGGTTGCTACCATAAATCCATTTTGAATTTAATTGAATTCTCCTTAGAATTTCCATGCAATTAACCTCAGAAATGTTGTAAATTTCAGCATAGAATAATCTTGAACTTCTCCCCTGAGTTCTATTGGAAATTCAATAGGTGAGTTTAAACGGGTTGGTTTATTTTCTTTAAATTCCGTTATAATTGCTTATCTTTTGACAGATACGCGTATTTCGTCTACTACTTGCATACTTCACCAGTGCCAAGTACTGATGAAGTCTGCAAATAGTAGACGAAATACGCGTATCCGTCAAAAGATAAGCAATTATAACGGAATTTAAAGGAAATAAACCAACCCACTCAAAGCTCTTCATAAAAGAATTCCGTTAAGAGGTTCGACAAATTTAAAGGATTGAATTCAATACGTATTCTCTTGAAAATTCCCACGGTATTTCCTTAGATTTCTAATAACAAAAATCCATCTCAGAATACCCTTGAAACTCTTCGAAGAATTCCATTGAGATTGAACCCTAAAAAATCGATTCCTTTGGAATTCTTCTCGGCATTTATTTCTATCCACAGAGAGCATGTTTGGAGTTCACGGGATTACAATGGAATTCTCATCAGAGCTCTCTTAAAAAATGTCAGAACTAGTTTTGAATTATTATTAGAGTTGGACCTACAATCCTCACAGAATTCTTCTCAGAACTCTCGTTAAAATTGACAAGGAGCTCTTCTCTCATTTATATTGGAATTATTTCCAGAATTGTTTCAGAGCTCAATTTGGCGTCTTTAATAATTTAAACAATAATCAAATTGATAATTCTTGAGAGGCTTGATAATTCTTCAAAGACTTTTGAAAATCTAGCACAGACAAATACCCTTGAACAGTTCCCAAGGTCTAGAATTTATTTTTGGGAAAAGAAGGTATATTTTACCCGATTTGTAATCGAAATTGAAGGCATTTCCCAGTATTTACTATCTTGGCGTTTTAAAGTTCCTTAAATGTTTGTGGTTGGTTAAAATTGTTAATTTTTCAACAGATTTGCATATTTTGTCATAACTACTGTAGACGTCCTTAGTGCCAAGTATTCAATTTAAAAATGATGTTGATATTTTCCCATTTCTCTCTACTTTGGTTGTGAAAAAGTGATTTTAGCAGGGTGTCCATTCAAATCCAATTCCCGGTTTTTCTCCGGTTATTTAAAAAAAACAAAAAAATCACCGCTGCCTTAAACTAAAAAGGCATTCAAAAATAACTGTTTATAGATAATCATATTTTTTCAGCAGAATTGCTCTACAATATGTCAATTTTGCAGAAAAATATGAGATAAGATTTGCATTAATATGTTGTTAATCTAGATCTCCAAAATCTCATGGAAGCATGA